TATCTTTTTAGTTTTTTATTCTATGTACTCTCGGTAATACATAGTTATAACATGAAAAGTTAAATTTTTCTTCACTTTCCACGTCAGCCGATGTGACTGAATAGAGAAAAAAAAAACAATTTTTCATGTTATAACTATGTACTACCTAGAATACATAAAGTAAAAAAATTAAAAAGACACAACTTACATCCTTTTAAAGCACAAAAAGTTTTCCCAAAAAAAATTCAAAACTTACAAATCAGAGCCTCCACTTGATTTAAAACTCAAAGCGTTCTCACTTGATTTTTTTAAAATTAATAAATTAATCATTTTTTATACATGAAGAGTACATTAATCATTTAACTAGCAAACCATTTAATAAGTTGTCAACTGTCTTCTAAAAGAATTTTATGTTTGAAATGGGCAGACAAATGGTTATATTCTATGGTATAAGAGCCGCGCAAAACGGGCTCGGCTCGACGGGCCAACCCGCCAAACGGGGCGGGGCGGGCTGAGTTTTTCAACTCATCTCAAAAGCGGGGCGGGCTCATTTTTTGGCGGGTTAATGGCGGGCATAGGCGGGCCGAGGCGGGTCAGTGTAAAATAAGCTCGGGCTTGCGGGCCAACCCGCCCAACCCGCCAAATGGGGCAGGGTGGGCTAGATTTTTTAGCCCATTTTCAAAAGCGAGGCAGGGCGGGCTGGCTCATTTTTTGGCGGGTTGATGGCAGGGTGGGTGGGACGGGGCGGGCCGCCCAGTCTGCCACCTCTAGGTATAAGCTATATGGAAATGAACTTTCAAGGAACAATATTTTTAATTCTTCTATATTTTGAAAGAAACATTTTTTTCAAAAAAATTAAAAAAATAATATATTTAAAATTATAAGAAAAATATTTATAATTATTCACGTAAAATATAAAAAGTATAAAATAAAAATATTTCAAAATTATAAAATTTAAAAGAAGAGAAGTTAATATCATTGTTGAAGAGAAAAAAGATTATGAAATTATGTCTTTTTTTAAGATATTTTACTATAATTTAATGCATAGCGATAGATTATTATATGTATAATTATTAAAAATTATATCAAAGGACTGTAATAAAATACATAAAAAAAAATTTATTTACATATTTATTATATAAATTAGTAAACGATATACAGTAAAAAAAAATGCAGTGGAATAATTAAAATAAGATACACATCTGTATATCTGCGTATGGTTAATAAATTATTATCGATTAACCTAGCTATGTTAGGCTCTTTGACTATTGTTGTAGCTCATCATATGTATTCTATGCCCCCAAATGTTATACAAGCGTGATCAATCACCTGAAAGAGGTAGAAAGTTTGTATGAAGAAAATAGAGTAAATGGGGCGTAATAATCATGAAGAATATGACACGGTATATACCATGCCAAGATTTTTTTGCGAGGTCCTAACTATGTTAAAGAAAGAAGGCATCTCTGCCCTTTAACAACCCTTTCACCGGGGGCCACGACCACGACTAGAACCCTTTTTGTGTGTTCCTCAATCCATATCTCAACTATGGATGGAAGGACAACTAAAGAGAAAGCGAAAGCTAGCTTAGAATCTCTGATATTGGAGGAAGAATTAGAGGTCCTTTTCTTTTTTAGATAAAAATATAGCTTTGCATGGAATGCGTAGAAAGCAGTTGGCACCACCGAGTGATCAAAGCATATCCTGGAGCATATGCTATTACTTCAGCCGATTATAAATGCTTCTCTGATCTGTCTTGCTTCGCTTATATAGCATCAAGAAGCCATTGGTTTATGCAGCTGATGAGTGTGAGAACCACTAAGCGAACCAGTTGCGGGGCTCCTTCCCTTTGGCAGAAGCACGACGTACCCAACACCACAAGAACATGCATGAATCAATTATCTTGGTTTTTGTGTGTATCTTCAATTAATTCGTATGTTCCGCCAAAGGAGAGTTGCCCTTTAACTGATTCTTGCTTAATTAGTGTATATATGCTCCCCTACATCATGGGCAAGACCATCGTTCTCCGTATGAGGTATATGTAGTCATTCATCCCAAATCATTAATAAAAAAAGTTCTATATATGTATATGTACTTGCTATTTGAATTCCTTACTTAGTTACCCATATATATGCATTGTGCGATCTTTAATTATAAAATTATTTATATTTGTCATTACAACGTGTGTGTGTGTGTGTGTAATGCATGAACAAGTACATCTTGTGATCTCATCTTCGGATCCCATATATATGTAGGGCAAAAGCTAAAGTTAGAAAATTCAAACTCTTTTTTTTATACAACGATGGCATTGAGGTTTGAATCTATGATCTTATGCAAATTATCCAAATTCCTCACCACTAAACCAATCCTAATGACTTAACAGTTCAGACTCTAAACTGTGTTGCGCTCACTGTTATAAAATATATTTCCATGCAGTCATAGCAATGACCGTTGAGTAATGCGGAGTGGGAATTTGATTTGGTTCATCTTGTATAGTACATATGGAGGAGGGTAAATCGTAGATCCAACTTATAAAATGCGTGCTAATTTGATTCTGACTAGAAATGTATTTAGGAGCTCCCATGAACTTGAGCAAACTCGTAAACATACGTCAATTTATCTTTTAATGTAGTTTATAGAGAAACAAATGAAATCATTCTCATCCCGCAAGTCAAAAACCTTATGTTACCGATTTGACTCTTCCAGCTGCAGTGCTACGGTTATATTAATATATCTAACACATGTCTCTCTGTATAAAAATTCATTAAGCTTGAAAAATTAATAATACATACATCTACCTACCTATATATTAAAAAAAATATAATATTTAATCGTTTAATATTAGAATAGGGGAACTCGTGATCACTTAATCATAAATGTTTCAATATCGAATAATTTTTTTTTTAACTAAAATATTTAGGGAAATGTTATTTTTATTATCATTCTAACCTTATCACTCTTATTATCTATTTATTTATTGTTTGATCAATTTGAAATCAATGATTGAAAAAGAAAAAAAAAGTTGCCGTTGATTTCAAATTAATCTAATGATAATCAAACAGGTAATAAGAGTGATAAGATTAAAATGATGGCAAGTATAAGTGTATAACCACCCAAAAAATTTAAGCTGATAAATAAATACCCACATTAATAATTTTATATTCATATATCTACTAGTTATTAAGATTCATCTCTGATTATGTGGCGGCGATATCCCGGCTTGTGTGGGGGCATGCATTTCCCGTGGAAGAACTCTGCATATTTGAATGCTAACTTTTTTTAGTCATCCATCATGTGTATTTGAGCCTTTAATCTAAAACATTGTCGAAGGTTGAGTTGTTTAAGCCATCAGATTTAGGTTGTGCTCCGATAGGGGTGAACACCCTCACCTATTCCTCCATTTCTCTTTCAAAACAAAAAGATGAGGTTACCTTTGTTTTCATGTGAATTTTCAAAGAATAATACTAAACACACATTTACAGATACATCATCATCATAGATGTATATATTTTTTAATTTATTTTTTAAAATAATTATATTTAAATTGATGTCACCGCACACCGGTAACTAGAATCTAAACAAGGTATATCCAGCATTAATTATCCTTTATAAATCTGGATATCTTTTTCTGTTGATTCCTTTTCATAATATATTAATTATTAATTAATTCACCGGTGTCAGACACGTAAAGTAATTGACATTATCTTATCATTAAAGCTTAATCAAAATTAGTCACCAATATAGAGAATTTATTGTAACGGATACTTAGTGAATAGTGACAGTGATGGCAATTAGGTTAGATTCATGGCAAGTTACTTCGTTGATGATGATCCGCAACAATAGTGGTGCCCTCACGTGTGACGCGTATCTGTCACTACTCAGTAATATGAAACTCATTATTTTCTTAGAAAGGACCCAGACGATGCCGTGAATAGTGCTTGAAGTTCAGACATTGCTCACAAGTGAACCTGAAATGGTGTGTTAAGCTTAAAATTTGTCAATTTCAGAAACATGCATTATCATTCTGTTTAATAATTTTTGGTGGAAAATAATTTTAATCAATCTGAACTTTTTATTACGAGAATCAATCTGGCCTTTCAATTCTGCCTAATTATATCATATTGATATCACGAACTAAATTTATTAAATTTAATTGGTAGCAAATCAAAGTTTAGTATAAACCTCACTACCCAAATTAATCCTAATTTTGAACATAAGAAAGCCTCACAATATCAGGCTGGGCCAAACTAAACGGGCTAGACGGGGCTTACAGACCCAAGTTAGTGCTAACTACACTAGACTAGGTAATTGTGTCAAGCGGGCCTCTAATTGTGTGTACAGTGAAGTGTTGACAACAAAACTTTAACCCAAAACCAAATTCACGGGAATGCTTCCTATATTTTAAAATTTCACGTTATCTTCTGAAACATTGTTATATTTTTATTTTTTTTATTTATAAACTCTTATAAGTTATACGATGTACTCCGAAAAGTACAAACACTTAAATATATACTTCTTAAGGTATATAGTGTAGTTTGTAAGAATTTATAAAAAAAAATAATTATAAATATAGCTTACCCCTATTTTCCAATCTAAATTTTTTATATTTAAGTCTAATGGGTGGCACAACTGATAAGCAGATTGTGTCTAAAGAGCACACTAGATACAAAATGAGTTGGGGCATTAGCTACAAATTTTTTAGTCACAGTGAAATTTTAACTGTGAATTCATTCCCTTAATATTTTTCTTCATATGTAGCAAAAGGAAAAAAAATTGCCCTGCTTGACTAGGCAAAACGAGTCGCTCCAAGGCACATACAAAATAGGGGCCAAATGGTGAAGTGGGGTATGCCAGTATATATTCACTTTGTGCTATGCGGGTATGCAATCACAAAACGTTAATCAGTAAAAGCAGGGTGAAAGCAAATATCACCGATAAAAGCATAATTATTCCAAAGAAGAAATTTGGGTCTACATGACTACATGTAACGTGATAATGCCAGCCACTATGAAAACTCACCCTTTGCCTTTTACCTCTTGTTTGTTTTCGATATCAGCATCGACAGGACTAGAATTTCAAGGTTCGATGATAACCAATTCCAATACCTTTTTTTATCGCTTGCAGGAAGCACCACAACCACTTACTTATATTATCTATCTAAGAAGGACTCTGATGGCAAGGTCCTAGAGATGAAATCTCCGTATGGACCAGCGACATTTGCTGTCTAGATAGTTATTTTCAACATAACTAATCCTCCTAACACATTAATTTGGCGAACAAACCTAATTAACTCAATGGTTTCAACAATAAATTCATCATGAATTTCCCAACTTCATAGGTGTGAAATAAAATGATGTCGTACTCAATAACCAACAATGTAGTATTATTGGCATTGTACAAGAAGCTAGGGCCGAGGGAGGAAAAAATTTGGAAAATTTAAGAGGCTCGTGGAACACTCCAAGGGACAACCTGTCTGAGTGACAATGAAATTAGACATTTACAACAACAACAACAATTTAGTGAAACTTCCAATGAAATCAACTAGACAAGGGAAAGAAAGACAATATACCAGAATGGAATGAGGGTGAAAGAAAGAAAATGCACCCACCTTGCTCTGGAGAAGCATCACAACCCTGCTGTAGCGGTTGTTTTCCTTCTCCTTTTCTTGCATCCTACTTTGATAACTTTCATAACACTACCAAGTCCATCATCAATATAACTGGATCAATCCATGACGACTTGGAAGCAGCCACATCTTCCACTCTTCATCCTTATAACCAATTTACCAACCATGAGACTCTCCCTTCTTTGGATGAGTCATACATTAACTTCACCAAAGCATACCCTCCATTTTGCAGTACTTCTGAAGTTGATCGCATTCGTGCCCAAGAATATAATCACTTGAATCTCTCCAACATTTGTTTTGATTACACTGGATATGGCCTTTTCTCTAACGCTCAGGAGCAAAGATCGTGTCCTTCAACTTCAATTGCTTCTTCATCTTCATGTCCTCCTCCATCATTGCCTTACTCTGCCTTAGAACCACCCTTCTTTGATATCTCCTACAAGCCGATAAATTTGCATTCTCAGGTACTCTATGGTGGCCAGGAATCAGAATTAGAATCCAAAATTAGAGAAAGAATCATGGCATTTATGAATATCTCTGAAGCTGATTACACCCTGGTTTTCATTGCAAATGAGGTATCTGCATTTAAACTCATAGGCAATTCTTTCAAATTTCAATCTGATGGAGAGCTTCTCACAGTGTATGACCACAAGAGCGAGGCAGTGGATGTGATGATTGAGACCTGCAAGGAGCAAGGAGCTAATATCTTGTCAGCTGAATTCTCCTGGCCCAATCTCGGAATCCGGTATAGAAAATTGAAGAAGATGATAATGAGTAGAAGGGATAAAAGAAAGAGAGGTCTATTCGTTTTCCCACTTCATTCAAGAGTCACTGGAGCTCCATATTCATATATATGGATGTCCATGGCCCAAGAAAATGGATGGCATGTCTTGATTGATGCATGTGCATTAGTACCAAAGGAAATGGAGAGCTTGGGTCTGACTATGTTTAAGCCTGATTTTATGGTATGTTCGTTTTACAAAAAATTTGGTAAAAATCCATCAGGTTTTGGGTGCTTATTTGTCAAGAAATCTAGTATCTCTGCTCTAAAAGAGTCAGGAAATGCTACAAGCATAGGAATTGTAAGCCTTTTTCCAGCATTTAGACAACCTCAGCCACAGGAAGAGATTGTCATCGCTGATGAAGAAACTGAACCAAAGAGTGAAACTCCTCCACAACATGTGACTGAAGAAGCGTACGTGAAGCAGAAAGGTACACTATCATCAGAAATAGTGGAGTTAAACTCATCCCTTGAGTCAGTTCAATCTAAAGAAAGATTAGGCTTAGTGAATGGAAGCTCAGAGATTGAGTGTAGAGGATTGGACCATGCAGACTCAGTGGGGCTAATACTAATTAGTGGCAGGGGTAGGTATCTTACCAATTGGCTCGTTAATGCATTAATGAGTCTTCAACATCCACATACTCAAACTGGACTTTCCCTTATTAGGATATATGGACCAGAGATAAATTTACATCGTGGACCTGCTGTGGCATTTAATGTATTTGATTGGAAAGGAGAAAAAATTGATCCTACAGTTGTACAGAAGCTAGCAGATCGTAACAATATATCCTTAAGTGGAGCATTTTTGCAGAACATCCGATTCTCAGACAAGAATGAAGAAAAGAGACAGAGAATATGTGAGGTGAAAGGGCTGTGCCAATCTAACAAGACACAAAGCCATGATTTTGGGGTATCTGTGGTGACAGCTGCACTTGGTTTCTTGACTAACTTTGAAGATGTATATAGGCTATGGGCTTTTCTTTCCAGGTTCCTAGATGCAGACTTTGTGGACAAAGAGAGGCTGAGATACATGGCTCTAAATCAGAAGACTCTTGATATATGACTTGTTATTTTTATTTTATTTTTTTTCTTGTTTTCCCTTTATCATTTTTTCATTAAGTTATGCAGCTATAATTCCAATATTTTATTACTTAAGACACTTGGAGAATGAATCCCCTACTGTTTAGCATATCCGTCTACTGCATCCCTCAGATATTTGAACAACCTCTCCATGTTATAATTTTTATTTTTATTTTTAGAAGCAAAAAAATCTAGCAAATAAAAATATATTTCTTAGTGATTTATTTTTTTAATGATACGCATTTAAAAAGTATGAAAAATGTAAAAGAAAAAAGAATTTTTTTTTATATATCTATATAAACACATCAGAATAATCTTTAAATATATATTTCCCAAAAGAAAATTTATAGCTGGTGTAAGATTTGAAGTTATATATTACTATTGTACACAATTTCAATGTCTAATCATTGAAGGTGATTTTGAATATTGTATTTTTTTTCGTTAATACTAGACACTTTAAAAAATGTATTTGCCGAAAAAATAGATTATATAAATTGAAACCCAACCCAATTAATCAGGGTGATGAGTTTGGACCATAAAATTGGATTTACAGGCCCAATCCACTTGTGTATGTCCTTTGTTTTTGTTGGCGACTTATGGGACTATGTTATCATTGTCATTATTATTGACGCACCCCTGAAAATTTCTAAGAAAAGAGATGCGGAATAAGAAAGCCCTGCTAATTAGTTTGCAACCTTGTTAGTTGTTACCCTCACATACATAAATTATGAGTGAAGCTGACCTTCCAATTTTGTCGTAACACAAGTTCAATGTTTCAAATATTTCCTATCATATAACCCTAACCGGGCTTTTTGACCCTTTTGTCCCTCATTAAATAATTAATAACCAATTTGTCCCTTCCCAAGAACTATCCACCATCATGCCCCCATTTAGTCGATTAAGTTGCACTTTTAATCGACTAAATGGGCAAAACTCAGAAATCATGAAACGCGAAATTTAGTCGACTAAATACTCACCTTAATCGACTACATTCGTTGCACTTTTAGTCGACTAAGTCCATTATTTAGTCGACTAAATGTCGCAGAAAACCCTATATCCAGACCTCTCTCGGTCTCATTTTCATTATATTCGAAATCAAAACTCCTCTTTCTCTTGTTTGTCAGCTGTGATCCTTCCAATCACCCTTTCATTTCATCCCACCACCTCTAAGGCATAGTAATTGTGAAATCATTGTCATTTCCCTTTATTTCTCAATTGTTTCCCCCAAATCCGAACCCAAAACCCTAAAATCCGATTCCTACCCCCAAAATTCGTGTGAAAGATGAGCTCAAGTCCAAACATGTATGTTACCATGATTTACTATGATGGAAAGCATTATGAAGGCCCCAACGGTGTTCAATTTGAAGGAAAAACGAAAATGTTGAAAATCAAACGGGGCACTACGTACAATGAACTGAAGGGGAGGATTCACCAAAAATTGGGGCTACACGGCAGCCATGGCGTTCAACGGATGATCGCCAGGGTAGAGTCTACAGTTGGTAAGGGTGTTATATTCTACATTGGTAATGATATATGTGACGATGAAGATGTGGACTGTGTCATAGATGCATTTGTGGACCGAAAATTTCAAAACTTTATTGAGATATATGTTGAAATAGACTGTGGTCAATCTTCATCTGCACCTGTGCATGGAAGAAGTCAAAGTCAAGAAGACAGAGTGGTCGGTTTATCTGCACCTGCACCTGTCTTAAGTCAGATAACACTGAGGGAAATAGACGAGGATGAGGATGAGCATGACGAGGATATGGACAGTGAAGACGATGGTGAACCCGAGAGTGTTATTCCGCTGGGTGACACCTCAGATACGGACGTAAAGGGGAATTTTGACGCTGATACTAGTTCAGGAAACTTGAGTTCCCAGGTTATGCCACCACTCCGTGTTGACCCTGTTAGTAGTGGTAAGATTGTAAATTAAAGTTTTAATTTTGCATATATATATATATGTGTGTTTTCTTTCGTACTAACGGATAAGTTTAAATTTGGACGTAGGTTCTGAGATTGAGCCATTTTGGAACGACAGCCCACACTATTCCTTCATTAATTGGGCTCACCCTAATGATGAGACGGAGATATTGTATGGCGACGATGACATCCACAGTGGCTGGCATTTAGGGGATCCATTATATTTGTACCAAGAGTTTCGAACTAAATCTGAAATGCAACATGTAGTCAAATTATATTGTATGAAGTCTCATCGTAATGCTGTGGTGGCAAAAAGTGATGACCATAGATTTGTAATGAAGTGTTGACACCATAATGATGGTTGTCCCTGGTACGTGCGGGCTATGTTGCCCAAGAATGGAAATAGTTGGGTTGTTAGTAAGTGGGGTAAAAAACACACCTGCCTAAACCAAGGCCTTACTCGGGACCATAGATAGCTGGATTCTGATGTAATCTGTGCAGCCATTATAAGTATGTATTACAGAATTTTTGTTTATGGTTTAATTTTTCGGTATATTTATTGACTGTGTTGACTTCGAATTTTGTATAGTATGTTAAAAGAAGATCCATCCACGAAACCAGTTCTTATTCAGGAGAAGGTACAAAGTTTGTATGGATACAACATATCTTATAGGAAGGTTTGGAAGGCTAAAATGAAGGCCATTGTGAAGTTGTTTGGCGACAGGGAAAAATCATATGCCATCTTACCTGGTTGGCTGACCTACATGACACAGATTAATCCTGGTTCTGTGTTCAAGATTGATACGGACCAGTGAACGACGTGTCTACACCGATAAGGCTGTCTTTCGCAGGGTATTTTGGACTTTTCACCAGTGCATTGAGGCTTTCAAATATTGTAAACCCATAATCCAAATTGATGGCACGCACCTGTACGGGAAATACAAAGGTACCCTCTTGATTGCTACGTCACAGGATGGTGATGGATTCATTCTGCCTATTGCGTTTGCCATTGTTCCACCGGTGAGAGATTGAGTGATTGGTTGTGGTTTCTTAGCCAGATGTGTTTCCATGTCACACGTAGGCATGATATATGTCTAATATCCGATCGTCACCCCAGCATCATCAGGGCACGGAACCGATCGAATATCAATGTACACGCATATAATGACTTGGGGAACACACTTTCAGGTAAAAAATTGTATTGTGGCGGTTATAAACCATGAATGTACATGTATTGCATAAATCTTGGTTTAGGGTACCCGAAACTTGTGTTCTTCATTTAACTCTCTTATGAGCACCTGTTCTGAATTTCATTGGACATTTTAGACCCGTTGGACTGTGATTAGACACAAATTGAAAACAAGAAAGTAAAATTACCATGTTCCTTCATTTGGTAAACAAGAAAAATGACAATCACGTAAACGGTTCACAACATGATGTGAACATTAAATAGTTCAGCTCATAAACATAATATCACATAAACTACAAATGTCAAATATGAAGACCGAAGTCAATTACATAACAACACACACTACAAACGTAAATTAAAAACATAAACCCTAAATCTAATCCTCCTCCTCCTCGGACGCCGTCTCCTCGTCATCCTCGTCTGACACATCAGTCCCCTTGTCCTGCAACATCCTCAACCTGTTGTTTTCCTCGTCCAAGCTCTAGACGAGCAAGCCTATCTTCAACACCCTTGAACCGTCCCTGTATATGTCTAAATCTTTCATTCCCTTTCTGCACGTGACTCTTCCTCCATTTTTTGTGTTTCAGCGCCATTTTTCCTATTTTCTTCAGCGTGGCGTTTATGCCCTTCATGACATCACGCAATGAAAACTCACCCTCAGGCTCAGCTATCTCCTGCTGGTCACCCTCATCATCATCATCATCATCATCCTCCACCTCGGGCTCAACCATGTCTACAAGTGGAGCAACATCAGGAACCTCAACATCAGCCGCACCTGTGAACTGCCACACTCCTGTTTGGGGGTTCTTTGTCATCTTGCACTGCTCCAGTAGACGTTTTCCAAACTTATGATTATACCTTGTGGTCTTCTTCAAGGTCACATTACCCATGGGAATATCAAAATGCTCCAATATCCTCTGAACAACACAAGCAAATGGAAGTGCACCCTTGTGTTTGGCCTTATACATCATCCAACAGATGTAGTGCCTCTAGTTCACCGAAGTACCATGTCGGATAGCCCACATGATCGCGGAAACAGAATGTGGGTGATGACATAATGTAGTATACGGGACTCCACAGTAAGCAACCCCACCGTATAGGCAATGTGTTGCCCACGGACTCTTCTCTGCTCCTGCACAGCATCACCTCGTGTATATCCTGGAAGTATGGTCCCGCTGTCTGCGTCATATTCCACAGTCTGCGCAGAATCAAAGTCATACCCCAGTAACTCCAACCATCCCGGAGCCGTCATGATGATCTCCACCCCGCAGACCCTAGACCTCAGCTCACCCTGTACGTAGCTGAGGTTATGGTAGAAGGCTCGTACATGCAGCTCAGAATATGAACACGACAGTTCAGCCAAGGTCCTAAGATGTGATTCCTCCAACCACCTCACAATGTTAAAACCTTCTTGTTCAAAAAAGGTTGTATCAAGTGATTTGGCCCCACATATGGGTCGGTTAACAAAGTCACGGACAAATGATTCATGAACCATGGGGTCATTCTCGAACAAGTATCCGAATGGGAGGTCGACAGGAGCGGGCTCTTCCTCTTGTGGCCTTGACGAAGACGGACGGTCTTGTCGTAGCTTCTGTGGTCTCTCATTTCCAGTGCTAGACGATCTTCTACGGCCAGCCATGGGAACAACTGTACCTACAATGCAAGTGGAAACAATATCAATGAACAATAACAATATCAAAACCATTCCTAGCCCCTAACATAAAAACATAAACCCTAACACTACAACCCAAACAAAACAGCAACATAAACCCTAACCCTAACCCTAACCCTAACCCTAACCCTCACCCTCACAACAAACTTAACACCCTACCCCTAACCTAAATCTACAAAACCGCAAACAAAAATCAAATGCTTGGAGAAAACAAAAAAAAAAACCTAAACCTAAAACCAAATGCAAGTCAGAAAACGTTACCTAAATGTCGATTTCGCAATTGTGAACCAAGGATGCTTCAATCGC